CAGGGTTCGCGTGGCACTTGAACCAGAGGCGCCATCCTGAAGGGCGGCGCGCAGCGGTGCATGGAGGCAGCAAGGCTATTCAACAGACTGCGCTGTGCCCGATGCGGCTGGAGAGCGCCATCGTGGACGCCCCTGTGGAAATTTGAACGGCGACGGAGGCGCCGCCAGCGGGGGGGGGGCTCCTGGTGGGGATGAGGATGGCCTAGATGGCGGCAGTCCCGATGTAACCGACGAGGAAGATCACGAACTGTATGAAGGAGAAGTCGCGGCGACGAGTACCAAAAACGCGCCGATGGACATGTGCGGCGCGGTGATGCGGCTTCGCCGCAATCTGAAGCATCCGCCACAGGCGCAGTTCTTGCGCGCACTACGATTGGGAGGCCCAGCGAGGAGGCACTGAGGGCAACGCGACAACTGCGTCGCCATATCTGCATGGAGCCCAACACCAGGAATTTGAGCTACCAGGTATCCCGCGCGCTTGAAGAAGGTGACGCTGTTCGGTCGTCAGATCGCGATCGGCCCATTCGCGGTGCACGCGTCGTCGAACGCGGTCGTGGAGATGCTGGGCGTGGTGGGCATCGAGACGGTTTTCCAGTTGGTGGCGATGGTGCCGTCAGAGAGTCCCCATCATGTAGCGACGACTTCTGAGCGCCATTGGATTTGTGGGATTGGAGCGCCGACGAGCGCCGTGGCGAACAACGGCGGGTCGTCCTCTAAGGAGGACAGCAGTATTTTGGAGGCGCTTGGCACGAAGGCGTTTCATGCGGCGGTCGGGGCCTCGCGGCAGAACGGAATGCGCGAGCGTGTTGGAGGTGTTTGGAAGATGATGTGGGAGGTTGCTATCACCGAAGCTGACATCGAGACCGATGGCGAGATGGTCGCAGCCACCGCAATGATCACCTGGGCCAAGACTGCCGGATTACCAGATCTGGCTTGAGCCTGGCGCAGCACGCGCTGGGACGGGCCCAAAGACTGCCCCGGGGGCTCCTGGGAAACAGGACCCGCTCGCCGTTAGCGTCTGAGGATTCGGCGGACAATCGAGACGACATGGCGAAGACGCTGCAGGTGCACAGCGCGGCCAAACTTGCATTAGAAAGGATCGACTTGAACGGGGGGTTGGGGCGGGCCCTGCTTGCGAGGGGCCGACGGCTTCCACTGAGCAGAGATGCGAAGCTGGGCGACGCGGCTTACTTCTACCGCGAAGGCAGGAGGAAGCAACGCGGAGGATGACGCAAACGACAGAGTTCCATACTCAAGTCTTGACACGGACCATCGGTCGCTATCGCTGTTGAAGATCATGGGGGGGACCGTCGACCTCGTGGACAAGGAGGAGGAAACCATGGGCGACGCCTCCAGGGGCTGGCGCGAGGAGGAGTCTGAGAACCCAGAGGCGAGCGACGAGCCGCCCGATAAGCAGACTGGGTGGGCGAGCACGAGACGGTGGCCGTGGACCAAGACAAGATCCACGAGAAGGATGGCGCGCAGGGCCCCAACATGGAGGAGGCGCAGCGCGTGATGGATCCGAGATTGGCAGCTGCTGCTGTCGAGATCGCGGCCGCGCGTCGCAGAGACAGTCCAGCCTCTCCACCGAGGACGCAGGCACGCGTCGATGCCAACAATCCGACGACTAGCGAAGGACTTTCATTTCGACTTTCCGAGCGGGCGGAAGACGTGGAGATTGCGGCACATACGCGACGCAAGTTGTGATTTGGAAAGACGCTGAAGATCCACTTGAAGGAACGTTGGCCGCCCGATGAATTCGACGCGCGAGCTCGAGATCGCGCTCCGCCACTTGCAGCCGCGAGAGTGGGTGGGGCGCCCCTTGTGACAGAGGGGGTGAAATGCCGAAGAGGCTGGACTGGGATCGTCGGGGCGAGGGCCGCGACCACCTCCAGGAGAGCTTTTGCCAGGACCTTTCTGACCACGTGGACTCATGGCGCCATGGGCCCCGACTGGCACCGACGCCCAATGAGAGCATGCGGGCCCAGGCTTGGCGATGGCGGTGAACGATTGGATGCGACGCGCCCTGGTTCGGGAGCATGACAGGCGCATGGAGATGGTTGAAGAATATGGTTGTGACACGGCGAATTGGCTGTGCAAATTTGCCGATGTGCTTCTTGTTCAAGGACATGCTCGATAAGGGGAAGGTCTGGAGCCGCCTGGGCCCTGTTGAACAGGCAGAGAATCAAGAGGCTGTAGCGGATCAGTGGGACAAGCGGGCCACCGACTGCGCTGCGGAATGGCGAAGCTTGAGATTGTGTTGCGTGAGAACGGCGAGCAGGACTACATCATGAGCACCACGTGGGCGATGACGGACAAGACCGACCCGATGCGCACCGAGGCGAACGAGTTGGCTCGGAAGGTGAGCGCAGGGCTCGGGGCGAACAGCGGTGCCCCCTGCATGGGTCGACGAGGGCAAACGCGAGGGTGGGCGCGCCGCGCCCTACTGCGCAGCCTGCGATGATCCTGAGTCAAGCGGCCCGGAAGTAGGCACCAGGGACGTGAGTCGCGCTGTCCTGAGGGGCGAGACGGACGAGCGTGATCTCGTGATCAAGCCCCCGAGGATCGGACCAGAAGCCCCTGGATTTCGCCGCGGTTGCCTGGCCGGCGCACTGAAGGGGGTTTTGGGTTCACCGACGGCGCCTCGGCCGTGGCACTTGAAGGTCATCGCTGAGGCGAAGAGGCTGGGATTGGAGCCATCGAGATCAGTTCCCGCCTTCCTGGCGCGCCGCGACCCGAAGGCGACCTAGCGATCGGCCATGGCGCCGCGGAGTTGCGCGCGCATTTATGTCGACGGCTCCCCTTGGAAGGGCATCGAGAAGATGGCCTGCCTGATGAATCGGCTCGGGGAGAAGTCCGATTCGGATCCGAGGAGGAGGATGACTTCGCGTTCGGTGCAAGATATTTCATGCGAGACGAGAACAACGAGAGCACGCTGAATATGATGGAGCGCTCGATGGGCTTGGAAACGGCGGCGGCGCCGTGCAGGAGGCGGCAGGAACCAGGGTCGATCAGAAAGCCCAGCGAGTTCAAGCAGCACCAAAACATCGTCTGGAAGATCAGCTGGTCGGCGACGAAATTGCGCGCGGACTGCGCCTGCGACTTGCAGTGCTGCAGCGCGAGAGGGGCCGCGATGATGGACCGGGGATGGGAGCGTTGATCAGAGCCAGCGCGTTCGCACTGGGCGGCGCGCTCGGCGCTGCGTGGTTCGCGAGCTGAAGGAGCATCCCAGATTCGTGCTCTGGATGAAGCGCATCGACCTGGAGACCGGCGGGTCACCCTGCGCGACGGACAGATCACTCGGGAACGTGATGCCCGACGGCGCGAGTCTCGCGGTGGACCCGTCGACGAAGCAATTTTGCGTCGGGCAGGTTTGGTCGTTTCCTCGCTGCTGCGCGGCAAGCGCCGCAAACTGGGACCCGCTGCGCGAAGTTCTCGCGCCGCGGGGGTGGCGCGCGCAGGTGGTGGGGAGCTGGTGTAGCGCAAGGGCTTCGAGATCAGATCGCCGACATATTGCGCGGCCCAGTTCCCCGAGGACCGGGTATTTAGCTGTTTGGTTGGCAAGTACCTCTGGTGGTCGTGACGGACTTGCGAGATGGAAATGATAGATTGGCGAGCGACGCCGGAGTAGGCAGTGCAACGCTAAGGAGCATCATCCTGGAGCTATTCAGTACACGCGAGATCTTTGATCGGCCTGGAACACGCGTACGATGGACCGACGGTGCGAAGATGATATCGGATTGAGATGATATCGGATTGCGTCACCAAGGACATGCCCGCGAACCACTTGCGCGAGACTCCAGAACGTGGTATTTGGAGCACTAAGCTTGGAGAGGGGCTGGTCGAAGCTGCGAGGCGAGTTGCCAGGACTCAGTTCGCATTGAGCTTGGGTGGTGGTGGTGGTGATGAGTGAGGCAGGTTAAGGAGTGCTCGAACTGCAGCAGCTAGAGCGAACTCCACTTTTGGGAGACAGGCTGCGGCGGCCTGATTCCCCCTACATACTGACGAGGTCGAGCTTCGACTTCAATTCATATTTCAAGCGATACAGTGACCCTTCTGTCGTTTCGCTGCTATATGTAACTTAGGCCCTACTTGTGTTTTATATCGCACACGTGTATTCAGTATATTTGTTCCTGGGGGCGCTTTCTCTTGCTCCTGTACAGTCAACCCGCGTAGGAAGGATGAGCAACTTTCCAAGGCTACCCTTGCATCTTGGCCCCTTCGACCCACCATTAGCGACGTTCGCTGGCCAACCTCGCTTGGAAAAAACGTGAGCGTGGCCCTCCAAGCCCGTTGTATCCTTACCGCGCATCCTGATTATATGGGTTGACCAAGCGATGGCGTCTTGCTCCGGTGAAGGTCCTTTCCTGGAGCTCTGCTCCTGCGGTGCTGGGGGCGTTTTCACCAAGCCAGGGACCGAGGATATGTGGCCTGAGCTCTGCATGGCTCAAGCGTTCGATTCTCTATTTGCGTTCCGCTAGTGAAGCTGTGCCGGTTGAAACCGTACGGGCTTCGACCTGCAGCAGTCAAAGATCCGCGTAGGATTCAGCTCTACCTTTGCCCCCTCTATGCGCCCATATCTGTTCCCCATCATGCTTCCCCGCCCCGCTGCCGTTTTGCATCGTGTTGGCTTGAGGCTGGATTGCTTCCAGTAGCGAGCGACGAGAAAATATTCCTCCCACTGTGATGCTGGCTGCCGCCGCCGCGCCGCTGCGTAGACCAGGGGAAAGGAGAACGACCCCCGTTCCGCCAGTTGGGCGCCCCAGCCAGCCAGCCCGCGGAGCGCGCCTACCTACAGTCGGGGCCCTGAAGAAGGAACCCTTTTCGCTGGGGAGTGGCTCGGTGTTCCTTAATTGTTTCGCAGCTTGCCTTAGGTTTTCCTTAAGCTTTCGATGGGAAGTCGAAGGTTAACTTATGAAAAAAGGGCCCTCGCTCCTTATCTAGGGTTCCTTAGGTCAACGCCTCGACTGTACCCCTCCTCCCCCCCCCCCGCGGGGCAGGCGCGGGCCGACGCGGGCCCTGCCTCGAAGGCGCGCGCCTTCCGGTGGCTGCTTGTGGGGCAGGCGCGCCCGCTCGCGCGTCCTGTCGCCCGGTCATCGTTTCGGCGTCGCCGTCCTCCTGCTGCTGCTGCCGTGGCTGCTGCTGCTGTTGCTGCTGCTCATCCCTCCTCCTCCTCCTCCTCATCCTCATCCTCCCCCTCCTCCCCCTCCTCCTCCTCCTCCTCCTCCTCCTCCTCCTCCTTTTCCTTCTCCTCTTCCTCTTCCTCTTCCTCTTCCTCGTCCTCCTCCTCGTCCTGCTGCTGCTGCTGCTGCTGCTGCGGCGGCTGCTCCCTTCCGAGACGCGTCCACAGCCAAAACCGTTCAGGACACTTCCCCAGGCATCTCCCTGGCCCTCCACGCACTCGTTTTCCCAGGTGCGCTCGGCCGCGGTGACGAGAAAGCTCACTGGGGGCAACAGAAGGCGCCATATGCCGTACCCTGCGGCGATTTCAACTTCGATATCTCCGAGACTCTGGGGGTTTGCGCTGTTGCCAACTGGAGGATGGCGGTGCCCAAAAAGATGCAACAGCGCAGCGAGCAGCAGCTGCGACACCTACCAATCCAGAAACGTCGCCCTCCACAGCTGCGGGAGTGGCATGCAGAATATCGATCCTCAGGGGGCTGTCGGCGTAGAAGAGGGGATAGCCGCAGACTTTCAAATGTGGTAGCTCATGATCAAGGAATGCGCCCCCATGCACAGGCTCCGCCGGCCCCCGCGGGTTCACCCGCAGACGACGCCTCCCAGAGAGCGGATGTGCCGTCAGCGCCCGCCCGGCCCCTTCTCTGCGATGCCCGCCGCCGCCGCGGGGGCGCCCCTCGGCGCATACCCCGTGGTGCTCACCGGGCGCGTTCCACTCCTCGCAAAGTGCCTCCTCGCAAACGTCCGAAAACACACATGTCTGCTCCGGTGTAATCTATCGTAGCTCCCCCTCGGCGGATCCAGGCCATTGGCGGGTAGTTACTCTGCGAGCAGCGGAGCGCGCTCGTCCAGATGCGGGGACGCCTTGGTGGCAGGCGGGGCGGGGCGGCTGGCGCCGACGTGCGGCCGCGCGCAGCTCCCGCCACGATTGGGGGCGGCCCTTGCCCCGCGGCGGCCCGCGCCCAGCAAGAAGTCGCTCGCTGGGCACATCACCCCCCTTAAGGAGCTCTCTCGGGGGCTCCACCCTGTGAGCAACGGGATCTGCGCACGCTCTCACTGGCTGAGGGCATCCTCTCGTACGCCTCTGCGCGCGAGGCGCTCTTCTGCCGAGCTTGCGCAGCCGAGCGCTCTGAGCCCGTGCGCGCTGTGCTGCGCACATTCGTTCCTTCAGCTCACGAGAGCGGCTGCATCTTGCCAGCAGTGCTCCAGGCGATAAGAGTGCTGCGCCAGCCCAGCCCTTCTTCGGGGGGGGTGAGTAGGATGCTTCGGGGGAGTGAAGTAGCATGCCTGGCTGGCTGGAGGCTGCGCTGCACAGCCACGCGGTCGCCTCCAGAAGCTCCGAAAAACGCCATCCCCGAGCCCCCGGGATAGCCAACGAGAGCCCCAGGAGAGCCCCAGCAGGAGGGCCGCCTGCCGCCGCCGGTTTTTGGCCCAACGTGCCAGCATGGCTAGAGAAAGAGGCTTGTACTGGCATCGCTCGGACGTGTGCATTTTTCCTTCGGTGAGGACCATCGAGGAGCATCCTGGATCCTTGATCATTTGGCGAAAAAACCACGCACGAAACCGAAAAAAGCACAGGGAATGGACGTCCGAGCGATGGCGAGTTTACCTCGTTCGAAAAGACACGTTTTTGGAGGGTCACTGCTACGGCCTTACGGCCAATGCAGCCGACCCCGGACGACGACCCCCACGACGGAAGAGGCACTCGGGAAGGTCCGGATCAGACGCTCCCAAGAATGCCCCAAAGGCTACCGAGCCCCCGCGAGATGCCAAAGAGCCCCGACGAAGTTTCGGGGGTGTCTGGGGAACCTTTTGGGCGCCTCCTGGGGCTTCCTTTCGGTTCCTTGGTGGCGCTTGGGGGCCTCGTGGGGGCCTCTGGTGGGCCTCTTGGGCCCCAGGACCCCCCGGGGCCCCCGGGACCCTCCGCCATACCCTCCCCCCCGGGACCCCCTCTCACTTCCGGCTCCGACGGGAAAGGGAACGGGGCTTCCCGTCGAGTCTCACACGACGTTGCCCAATTTCGTTTAGGCGGTTTCGCTTTGGTTGGCGCGCTTAAGGATGAGGGCCCAGGGAAAAGTAGGAGCGACGACGACATACGACGACGACGACGACGACGACGACGACGACGACGACGACGACGACGACGACGACGACGACGACGACGACGACGACGACGACGAGTCAAACGAAACAGCTTCTCGCACATCCCGACAGGGTCGGCGGATTTTCAAAGGATGTAAGGGGCATGGTTTCCGTTGTTGGCAGCCTCGCTTTGGGTACTTCCTGTGGTTGGTCCACCGAGAACCCTTAGGTTTTCAGGGCCCGACCCACTGGGGGGCCTCCTCCATCCCCGTTTCCGTATACATCGTTTTCCAGTGCCGCACCCCGTGGACGTGTCGGTAGGGCGGGTTGGGCATCTAGGGCCTCGAAGCTTGAAATGTGCACTTTTGCAACTGATGGGAGGTGGGTCCTTTTTCGAAATGTTTTGTTCTCGTTTGGGTGCCGCGCGCATTCACATCGTCTTAAACGCCTGCAGCAGCTTCAAGGATGGAGGGCGGGTCCTTCTCAAAAGGCTGGTCTCGCCCTAGCGCTGCGCACATTCGTCGTAACATGTGCAGCCGCTTCACGGGTGGAGGGCGGCTCGGTTTCGAGAGTTGGCTCCCGCCCCGGCGCCGCCCGCACTCGCTTTACAAGCGTTCCACAGCTTCAAGGATGGAGGGCGGTCCCGTTGCAAGATGTGGCTATCGCTTCCCCGCCGCACACATTCGTCCTTAAATGCTGCAGCATGTTTGAGGATTCGAAAGGGCGTGGCCATGCAACCTTTTCACCAACCGGCGTAGCCTGCTGGCACGCGACCTAGCGCAGCAGGTCGAGGAGACAAGTCATGACAGTCGCCTGTGTCTTGGCGCAGCGCTGGGTACGGAGTTGTTTGTGGCGTTCCGTTGGTGTTCCCAGCCTTGCATCCGTAATGGGTGCTAAGAGCCGCGAGACTGTGGTGGCCCCTCGCGACTCTGCGATACCTCGAGTGTGCCAGCGTGCATGGCGAGATTCGTGGACGTGGGGCGGGTACCAGCGGGGACGCCTATGTAACCCAAGACGAAATTGTGCGGCGGCAGCGACGCCATAGGGATTGCGGGGTAGAGTGGGGAAGGAGTGAAGGAACAAGGTCAGAGGGGGGCAAGAGAGGCTGTATAGAGGGCAAGGCAATATCAGCATGGTCCTAGTGCAACAGCAGGAATGGCTGCAGCAGAGGACCAGATGCCAGGCGTTTTGCGCGCTCGGCCAGCCGTTCTTGGTGAACTCCTGCTCGCACATGGGTGGGTCGGGAGTTTCTTCTGCAGTCGGACGCTTGCTCCCGTGGGCTTCAACATTGCCTTGCCGTTCTTTTCTTATTGTTCCTAAGGCAGTGATTGCACCACGGGGTTAATACTCTCTTGCCCTGTTCGGATAATTCGGAATGGAATTTGCGGTTGCTCGTTCTTGCCGTGGTGCTTTCTTGGTGGTGTTCTTTGCTTGGTGCCTTGCCATGCCTCGAGTGCGGCGATGGTTCGTTCTTGCCCTAGTGCCCCATGGGTGGTGCTCTTTGGCTAGTGCCCTTTGCTGCTTTGAGTGTTGCCAGTGCTCGCTCTGTTCATGGTGCCCTATGGGTGGTCCTCAATGATGCCTTGAATATTGGGATTTCTCGTGCGTGTCATCGTATTCATCATATGTCATCGTGGCCTGCCGGTGGCGTTACACATCGCCGCTACGAAAGTTTTGACCCATTCGGTGGCTCTACCAATACATTGCCGAACGAAGGCTCCACTGTTGGGCAGGAGCCAGCACGCCATTGAGCGCCAGAGCCTGCGAGAAGCATGACGCCCCATTCCGACTGCGAACCCGAAAAGGTTCGAATTGAGATTTGGAAGAAGTCTCTGGCAAATTCGCCAGTTCAACTTTGAACCAGATGGGTTTCGATTTCTGTTTTGGAAGGAATATAGATCAGAATCGCCATGTCGACTCCGAACCCGAAAATCTAGACTTCGGTCGAAATCGTTTTTTGTTCGAAGAGATCTCAAACGGAGTCGTCGCTTCGACTTGAGCAACCCGCTTGGCCTTTAAAACGTTGAATTCGGTAGCCCGAAAAATCGAACACGTGGTGTTTTCTTGGGAACTCCTCGAACAAACGATTTCGACCTGATGCCGAAACCCGTCGGCCCGAATTCGACATGGCGATTGCGCCCACTACTTCTTCGAAGAAACGTGTTCGACCGAAGTCGCCACTCCTCCGAAATCCGAACCGCGCGGACACGCCTGTGCTACACGAAGCAACGAGACGCACCCTGGCATTACTGTACTGGGGCCCCGTCGCCTAACGGGCCCCCTTTGGAAATGCCCCCCGCTGACGACGCTGTACTGGGCCCCCGCCGCCGAACGGGATGCGTTGAGTTCTGGCCGAGCCTTCGCAGCGGCGAAGTGTGACTGATGCCGTGCGGTGCCTTGCGTGTCGCGATGTCTCGAGCCTCCCCTGGTACCCTCGTCGAAATTGAACGCAAGTTTTGTCCACCCCCGTCGCCCCCAAATTTCAATGTTCATCGACAGGCGCATCGCGGCCGGCGGGGTCCGAAGAAAATCTCGAAGTCGCCGGCGTCGGCGTGAACATTGAAATTGGGGGTCGGGGGGCGCCGCCAGGTCGCGGCTAAAACTTGCGTTCAATTTCGACGAGGGATGTGGTGCCCTATGGGTGGTGGTCCATGTCTGGCGCCATGGAATTAATGCAGCGATCGCTCGTTCTTGCGCTGGTGCCAGATGGGTGTTGCTATTTAGTTGATGTCGTCTGGTACCTTGACTGTTGCGATTGCTGGTGCACGCCGTGTCAGCACATGGGTGGTGCTAAATGGCGGTTGCCCTATGGTGCCTGGAATGGTACAAGTGCTCGTTCTTGCCATGTGGCTGTATGGGTGGTGCTATATGGCTTGTGCCCCATGAGTATTACGGCTGCTCGTGCTTACCCTGGCGGTATGTGTGTAGCGCTGCATGGTTGGTGTCATACGGTATTTTGGTTTCGATTGATCGCTGTTGCCCTGATGCCCTATGGGTGGTGCTCTATAGCTGGTGCCCTCAGATGCACTGGGTGTCGCGGTTTCCTGTCCTCCCCCTGGTGCTCTGAGGTTGGTGCCCTGCTGCTAAGGCACTCGCGTTCGCCCCCTCTGTATTGCATGACGCAGATGGCACATCGAGAGTGCAATCACCTACTGATGTGGGCCCGCGCTGTCAGACAGTTTTGTATCAGGCCGACCAGGGCCTTGCAGCAGCGACATCGCCACACCGCGGCCCCCACCGATTGCGGCGTTCATGTCGGCACAGACAAATGGATTCACCAGGGGCGCTGCCCAGGCACATTCATGGTACCATCGGGATGGTTGCATCATTTTCCCCAGCGCCATTGGGGTGGCCTAGTTCCCACCTTCCGCACGACTTGGGATTGGCGGCCGCAGGAACGTGAGGAAGTCAAAGGAGTAAGAAGAGGAAGAGAGGTAGGATCGAGGAGGAAGAGGTGGATGATGAGAAGGCGCAGGCGGAGAACGAACTGCACAAGTCCGCACCGACTTGACACAGCTTGAATATGGCTGGTTTCACGTCCTCGTCTGCCCTCAGCTGTATTACTTCTTCTCTCCACCTTGCCCCCCACCCCACGGCAATTTTCCAATATTTTCCACAGCAGCAGTCTCACTGCAAAACGCAATTTGGCCCCCTGTCGTACAATCGCTGTTACTTTAGCAACCAGCTAGATAGGCAGCTCAACCGCACTGTGGTCTACCCAACCTCTGTATTCCACTCTACCTTTTACATTTTGAGCCATACCATGCTCGTACGTCTGTGCACTCTCCCTGAAAATGTGGGGGTATTGTTGTCAGGGAGGATGTTGGTCCCTCTTCACTTTTGGAGCCACTTCGAATGCACAGCCAAAACTACACCGCCGCGACAATAGTTTGGCCCGCTTTCTTGCCACGGCGACTGAAGGCGAGAGCGTCGCAAGACTTGCGATGGCCCCCCCTCCCCCGTAGACTCCTACACCAAGACGACAAAGCGCAGCGGTGGCGCGGCCGCGGCGGAAGAAACACTTTCTTCTACTGAGACTAATTGGTAGGACCCTGTCATTTCGGGGGATACATTGTTCCGCCAAGTGTTGGACGCGTGGAAAATTCTTCCGCGCCGGCGCGAGGGAACTCCACTGGGGAAGGCAAATGGGCCTAAATTTTCGTCCCGCCAGAGGGGCATCCACCACCGTGTTTTGCTGGCCTGGCGCCTTCAACCGTAGGTTGTAGTTTCACCTCTTCCTCCGCCCCGTGCCTGCCAGCCTCCAGAGATACCGCTGCGCTGCGTCCGCGCGGCGCCGCGCGTCGCAACACAGATTACTCTGGCGCTCACTTTCGGAACGCCGATGGCCTCCGAACGCAGGACGTCGGAATGGTGCTCTCGCCCGACGGTGGTTTCTCGGCCGCGCCCGAGCAGCGTGCCGGGCGCAGTTTTCCTGGCATCGCCGCGTGCCAGCTCTTGCGGTTAGACTTTCGGGTCGGCGGCGGCGCGTTGCTGACCGCCGACCCCTGGGCAGATGGGTGCATGGTTGGAACGACAGCGCGGCGGGGGCCGAGCAGGCCCCTGAGCGACGGAGAGAAGCGACGCTCGGGCCCCACTGCGGCGGAGAGAAGCGGCGCTCCGGGGCCACCCCCCTACACGCCCCCAGCTCAGCATGCGGGTGACAACGAGATCACCTCCTCGCCGTGCCCGCCGTCCGCTCCACGACCGAACCCTGAAAATTCACACACCGCCGCGACAATAGTTTGGCCCGCTTTCTTGCCACGGCGACTGAAGGCGAGAGCGTCGCAAGACTTGCGATGGCCCCCCCTCCCCCGTAGACTCCTACACCAAGGCGACAAAGCGCAGCGGTGGCGCGGCCGCGGCGGAAGAAACACTTTCTTCTACTGAGACTAATTGGTAGGACCCTGTCATTTCGGGGGATACATTGTTCCGCCAAGTGTTGGACGCGTGGAAAATTCTTCCACGCCGGCGCGAGGGAACTCCACTGAGGAAGGCAAATGGGCCTAAACTTTCGTTCCGCCGGAGTAGTGCCCCTCGTTCGCCACTTTACTTTGCTGCGTGCAAGTGCGCATGCCGTTATCGCTGTTGCGCCCTGCTTTCTGCCACTCTTCGCCACTAGTGTCTTGCTGCCTGTCTATTGCATGTTTCCCGCTCTCGATCGTATCTCCCCCGGTATGCTTTGTCGGAGGGGTCCTGCTCCTTCTGCGCTGGAGGGTTGGTGGCGATCGTGGGCCTCCCCGCTGGATCCCCAGGGGATCCTCGGGTTCCTCGGGGTTGCTTGTTTTTGTTTTACATTGTGAGCGCTCTCCCTCCCTTCTCCCGCCCCGCGGCCACTCCGCCTTTCTTCTCCTCCTCCTGCCGCCGGTTGATTCGCGCTTCACGTTGCCTGGGCCGCTCGAGCGCGCGCGCGGACTGCCTTTGCCGCGCTGCGACGACCAAAAATTGTGTTCGACACGCTTTCGCATCGCAGGCCCGCGCGGCTCCGCAGTGCTGGCGGTCCCCCCCGACGGGGCCGTCGCCGGCTGCCGCCCCGATTGCGCGCGGGCGGGCGAGGAGCGGAGTGGTTCCCGCCGGCCGAACGGCCGGCGGCGGCAATGATCTCGAACCTCATGAACTTCATCGGGAGCTCGATGTCCTTCATGCTGCCCTCCCTAGTGGTCGACGTCCACGCGGAGCGGGGGAGGGCGGAGTCGGACGGGCTAGGACGAGGACAATTCCGTTCCAGAGCGTTGCGGAACGCTCTCCGAGCGGTCCGGAACGCTCTGAGACGGCCGCGGCGCCCGAGCAATCCGCCAGAGCCGCCGGATCTCAGAGATTCTACCAGCCTGGAACATATCTTTATCCCTATGCTGGGCACCTCCCCATCACGATGCCAATCTTAGGGATTCCCTTATTTTTTGAGGGCGAATTCCTAAGATTGTCATCGCCTTTTGGCGTGTCATTCTTAGGGATAGGGATACGTTCGAGGCTGGTAAAGATTCTCGAATTATCTTCACCCGATTGTACTGTCTCCCTGGCCTCATCCTGCGGAGGACCTGCCCCGCCCCTTCATTGGCTCTTGCACGGCGTCCAGCAATGTGGGCGGGCGATTCGTGTCGCCCTGGCTGGGGCGGGGAAGCCAGGGCTCGCCGGGAATCGTGAGTGCACCGCTGCGTGCGATCTCCACCGCGCCCCCTCGTTTCGGCCTGCGGCTGCTCTGGCGCTCCTCTCTCCCTGCGGGTGGTCCCAGGGGCTCGGCTTTCGGGGCCCTCCCCTCCTCCACTCGGCCTCTTTCCTCTTGCTGCGTCGTGCTGCTGCGAGGATCGACGGGGAGGTTTCGCGCGCCTGCCGCGCCGTGCTGATTCCACTTCGGCTCTCCGCGGGTGCCCCGAGTCGGGCGCGACAGCCTCCGCAGCGCCCCTGCCCCGTGTGGAGCAGCGCACTTCGCAGGAGATGTCTCGACGGTTCGCGTGCCCCCACCAGCCCATCCAGAGACGATGCCCAGGCGAGTTGCCCTGGTCAGCGAGTCCAGCATACAGACCCAGGCGTGATTCACGCATACCTCCTTCGACCGAGGAAGGGGCCGCGAAGGATGATGATGATGATGATGATGATGATGATGATGATGATGATGATGATGATGATGATGATGATGATGATGATGCTGATGCTGATGCTGATGCTGATGCTGATGCTGATGCTGATGCTGATGCTGATGCTGATGATGCTAATGCTGACGCTGACGCTGACGATGACGATGACGATGACGGTGGTGCTAATGCTGATGTTGACGATGATGTTGATGATGATGACCATGATCATGATCATGATCTAGATCATGATGCTGCTGATGATGATGATGATGATGATGATGATGATGACGATGATGATGATGATTATGATGATAATGACGATGATGATGAGGCTGATGAGGCTGATGACGATGATGTTGATGGTGATATTGGTGGTGAGGGTGATGGTGATGATGGTGATGATGATGACGATGATGCTGCTGAAGCTGACGATGATGCTGACGATGATGATGCTGATGATGATGATGATGGTGATGAAACTGATGATGCTGATGATGATGACTATGCTGATGATGATGATGATGATGGTGATGATGATGATGATGATGATGATGACGATGATGATGATGATGATGATGATGATGATGATGATGATGATGATGATGATGATGATGATGATGATGGCTGATGGTGATGATGATGATGAGGAGGAGGAGGAGGAGGAGGAGGTGAAGGAAGGATAATAAATCGGATGAAGATGAGGAAGGAGGATGAGGAGGAGGAGGACGAGGACGAGGAGGAGGAGGAGGAGGAGGAGGAGGAGGAGGAGGGAGAGGAGTTAACGCAACAAGCTCGCGCTTTGTATATGGCCAATGTCAAAACGAGGCAGAGTGGGGAGGAGGAGGAGGAGGAGGAGGACGAGGAGGAGGAGGAAGAAGAGGAGGGAGGAGAACGGGAGGATGATGAGGAGGAGGAGGAGAACGAGGAGGAGAACGAGGTGGATGGCGATCAGAAGGATACTTGTTTGGTGGAGGAGGCGGATGGCGAGCAGAACGAACAATTGCTTGACGCAGCGACGAAAGGTGCCAATCGTAAAAGCATAGACAGATCTTTCGCTCTGGGAACCTCTTGGAGGCCTCTCGGAGCCATCTAGAGGCATTGTTGGGGCAAGATTGGAATCTTTCGGGGCCCTCCTAGCGCGCACTTGTGACTCTCTTGGGGGCAGCAGGGCCCCTCCTGGGGCTATCCGGGAACAAAAACAAGTTTAAAAAACACAGCGGCACGCATTGCCCCTCACCATCGGAGCCCCACGAATTACCCATGTCGTCCTCTTGGGACGCTCTTGGGATACTATTGGGCGCTCTTGGGGCCGTTTTGGAGTCTTTCCCTCTTGGGGCTCATTTGGTCGATCTTGGAGTTACCTTGAGGCCTAGGAGGGTTTTTGGGGGCGGGAGGCGAGAATGTAGACGCCGCCGAATAGCATTACGTGTTTGAATGAGCTTGGCCTCTCGGCGGCGTCCTTGTGAGGCCCTGGGGCCGCTCGAAATAGGCTTTGGCCGTCTTGGGGCCTCTTGGAGGCGTATAAGGCCGTATTGAGCCATGGTGTGCTATCCTGTGTCGTGGAGGCTATCTTGGGCTATCGAAGGCTCCGTTGGAGCCACTTCTGACACCTCGCCCCTGCCCTCACCAGAGCGTGTCGCCAGGGCCGCCGCCGCGACACGCTGATCAAAAGTCTCCGGCCGCAGCCCTCTGGAAGCCCACTTGAAGCCCAGGGGACCCACAGAACGTGGCCCTCGGCGCGAAGCACTCGCTGGAGCCCTTGGGGCCCTCTGGGCCTCGTGCGCGGTGTTCTGGATGGAGGCTGTCGGGGGCTCCTTGGAAGTCCTGGGGTGCGCATTGGGCCAGGGGCGCTTCTGGCAGCACCCGAGCTGGGGAGGGCCAGGACGCGCACAGCATGAGCGACCAGGAGGTCCACAGGGAGCTCTCGGCCCTGCTGAACGTGCAGTTCCAGCTGGAGGGGCGCCTCGCCTCCTCCCCCCTCCTCCTGCCCACATCCTCCCAGCACCCGGCAGGGCCGCTCTGGCCCCGCCCCGCACCCTCCCCGCACCCGGCCAGGCCATTCTGGCCCCACCCTGTCGGTGCATGTTCGAAGTTTCGACGGACACACGAACCAGACATTGCTTGAATTGTTTCCTTCGTCGTGGGGGTCAGTAGACGGCAAGAGCTCTCCATGGATAACTTCCGGGGGGGGGGGGGGCACTTTCCAAACAGGCTTTCGTATAGGATATCTTTGGTTTGGGAGAGTGTACTCGCGACGGCTGCTTGCGGGCAGTGATCCAAAGTGCTCGATCAAGGAGTTGCTTCTTATCGTGCTCGAACACAAGCGCGGGCCTGGCTCCTTCTCCGTCTTCCTTCCGCCTCCGACTTGAAGGGAGGGTTCGCTGCAATATCATTGGTGGTTTCATTGGTGGTTTCATTCGTGGTTTGAGGTTTTACACTGGTCCTCCTCCCCCATCCCTTGTCCTTACATTCTTACGTTCGCAAAAGCTTCACGGATGGAGGGCGGGCGGTTTTCAAAATGTGGCTCTCGCATTAGTGCCGCGCACATCCGTCTTAACACATTGCAACATTGCCACGCACGGAGAGCGGCACCTTCTCAAACTGTGTTTCTCGTTGGAGCGAAAGGCGCACTCGCTCCAAGAGTTGGAAAACAGCTTCAAGGGTTCGTATGGCTGACGCCCCAGACATGGTGTGAGGGGACGATGTAGGACTGCCAGGGCGCAGCACTTGCGCTGACTCGCGGTGTTGAAGTCCCAGGGATGGGGTCTCTGGCACGGTTCCGGATCGCCGGGATGCAACAGTAACATTGGCTCGCGGCGTTGAAGACCCGGGACTGGTCTTCTGGCCCGGTTCGGGACTATTAGACGGTTGTCTTCCAACTGGACACAGCCCTCAGAGAAAATGAGTCCTTGTAGGGACTTATGAAGAGGGAGCTTGGGGGGAGGGTTTATTTCAACATCGTTGGTGGGTCTTGGTTTTACAATGGTCCTCCTCCTCCTCCCTCCTCCCTCCCTTCTCCCTCCTCCCTCCTCTCCTCCTCCCTCCTTATCCTTCTCTTCCTCCTCTTCCTCCTCCTCCTCCTCCTCCTTTCCTCCTCCCTTCCTCCTCCTCCTCCTTTCCTCCTCCCTCCTCCCCCTCCTCCTCCTCCTCCTCCTCCTGCCTCCTTTCCTCCTCCCTCTCGTCCTCCTCGTCCTCCTCCTCCTCCTCCTCCTCCTCCTCTCCTCCTCCTGCCTCCTCCGCCTCCTCCTCCTCCATTCCTCCTCCTCCTCCCTCGACCCTCCTCATCCTCCTCCTCCTCCTCCCTCCTCCTCCTCCTACCTCCTCCTCCTCCTCGTAACTACTAACCTACTACTACTACTACTACTACTACTACTACTACTCTACTACTACTACTTAACTACTACTCTTTCTACTACTACTACTACTACTACTAATACTACTTACTACTACTACTACTACTACTACTACTACGACTACTACTACCTACTACTACTACTAAATTACTACTACTACTACTACTACTACTACTACTACTACTACTAAACTACTGCTACTACTACTGTTACTACTACTACGATTACTACTACTACTACTACTACTACTACTACTACTACTACTACTACTACTACTAACGACTACTACTACTACTACTACTACTACTACTACTACTACTACTACTACTACTACTACTACTACTACTACTACTACTACTACTACTACTACGACTACTACTACGACTACTACTACCTACATACCTACCTACCTACCTACCTACCTACCTACCTACCGACCTACCTACTACTACTACTACTACTACTACTACTACTACTACTACTACTACTACTACTAACCGCATGCCGAGGATAATAATGTATCCCCCCCCTTCAGTCTTTAGGGTTGATTATCGGCGCCCTATATAAGATTCAAATTGGGCGGCGAGCGTTGAGGCCGAACTTCATTATCACCTCGTAACGTTGTGTTGAGATATCAACATCAAGTTATGTTGAGATAGCAACATCAAGCGAAGCGATCACACTTTTTTCAGGATGTCTCAAGCGAAACCAAGAGTTTTTGGAGGCAGACTCAAACGAAACGAGCACTGTTTCAAGGATGCCTCAAGCGAAACCAGCAATTCTGTGAGGATGTCTCAAGCGAATCGAGAAGCTTGTTGAGGATGTCTCAAGCGAAACAAGCATATACTCGAGGATGTCTCCAGCGAAACAAGCATATACTGAAGGATGTCTCAAGCGAAACGATACGTTTCTTAAGGATGTCTCAAGCGAAAACAACAATTCTGTGAGGATGTGTCAAGCGAAACCAAGAATTTTGGGAAGCAGACTCAAACGAAACGAGCAATGTTTCAAGGATGTCTCAAGCGAAACCAGCAATTCTGTGAGGATGTCTCAAGCGATTCGAGAAGCTTGTCGAGGATGTCTCAAGCGAAACAACCATATACTCGAGGATGTCTCAAGCGAAACAAGCATATACTGAAGGATGTCTCAAGCGAAACGATACGTTTCTCAAGGATGTCTCAAGCGAAAACAACAATTCTGTAAGGATGTGTCAAGCGAAACCAAGAATTTTGGGAGGCAGACTCAAACGAAACGAGCAATGTTTCAAGGATGTCTCAAGCGAAACCAGCAATTCTGTGACGATGTCTCAAGCGGTTCGAGAAGCTTGTCGAGGATGTCTCAAACGAAACAAGCATATAGTCGAGGATGTCTCGAGCGATTCGAGAAGCTTGTCGAGGATGTCTCAAGCGAAACAACCATATACTCGAGGATGTCTCAAGCGAAACAAGCATGTACTGAAGGATGTCTCAAGCGAAACGATACGTTTCTCAAGGATGTCTCAAGCGAAAACAGCAATTCTGTGAGGATGTGTCAAGCGAAACCAAGAATTTTGGGAGGCAGACTCAAACGAAACGAGCAATGTTTCAAGGATGTCTCAAGCGAAACCAGCAATTCTGTGAGGATGTCTCAAGCGATTCGGGAAGCTTGTCGAGGATGTCTCAAACGAAACAAGCATAAACTCGAGGATGTCCCAAGCGAAACAAGCATATACTGAAGGATGTCTCAAGCGAAACGATACATTTATTAAGGATGTCTCAAGCGAAAACAGCAATTCTGTGAGGATGTGTCAAGCGATAACAAGAATTTTGGGAGGCAGACTCAAACGAAACGGGCAATGTTTCGAGGATGTCTCCAGCGAAACCAGCAATTCTGAGAGGATGTCTCAAGCGATTCGAGAAGCTTGCCGAGGATGTCTCAAGCGAAACAAGCATATACTCGAGGACGTCTCAAGCGAAACAAGCATATACTGAAGGATGTCTCAAGCGAAACGGTACGTTTCTTAAGGATGTCCCAAGCGAAAACAGCAATTCTGTGAGGATGTTTCAAGCGATACCAAGAATTTTGGGAGGCAGACTCAAACGAAACGAGCAATGTTTCGAGGGTGCCTCAAGCGAAACCAGCAATTCTGTGAGGATGTTTCAAGCGATTCGAGAAGCTTGTCGAGGATGTCTTAAGCGAAGTAAGCATATACTCGAGGATGTCTCGAGCGATCCGAGAAGCTTGCCGAGGATGTCCCAAGCGAAACAAGCATATATTCGAGGATGTCTCAAGCGAAACAAGCATATACTGAAGGATGTCTCAAGCGAAACGGTGCGTTTCTTAAGGGTGTCTCAAGCGAAAACAGCAATCGCTCGAGGATGTCTCAAGCGAATTGAGAGATTCTGTGAGGATGTCTCAAGCGAAACGAGCGATTCGTCGAGGATGTCTCAAGCGAAACAAGTATACGATGATGTCTCAAGCAAAGCGGGGGATTTGTCGAGGATGTCTGATGCGAAACGAGAGATTTGTTCGAGGATGCCTCGGGCGGAACGGGCACGTTTTCGAGGATGTCTCCAGCGAAGCGAGCAATTCTCCTGCTCCCGCCCGCGACCGTTCTGGCTCGAGCGTTTCGAGCTTTTAGAGTTCTCGAGCCCTCCGAGCTTTCGAGCTTCAGCTTCGCCATGGCGGTGTCCAAGCCCTCGAGCCCGCAGATGACCGAGGACAGCCAAGTCGCCGCCCTGCTCGAGCAGAACAACAAGCTCCTCCAAGGAGTTACCAAGCTCCTCGAGGAGCAGAACAAGCTTGCCGACTTGCAGAACCAGAGCCTCGCGTACATCGCCGAGAAGGCGGGGTGCGCCGAGATGCGCCAATGCCAAGCCAGCGGCGAGGCAACCGACGCTTCGAGAATGTTGGGGATGTGGTGTCGAGGGAGTTCCGCGCTGTACCACAAGAATATTCGAGGCGCCGCGTTGGCGAGTGCCCTCAAGAATGGAAGCCTCGAGGGGATCAAGTACGAGGGCATCTTCCGAGGCAAGGATCGGCGCCGAAGCGGGCTCTTCTGCGCGATCTTCTTCAAGACGCACATCGAGCGGAGCGGCGAGACGTTCAACGCCTTCGACGACGCAGACAAGAGCGTCGAGACGCTGTTCAAGATTTTGCCGAGCTTCCGAGCGGAGTTTCTCGACGAGGCCAAGACGCACGACGCCATGGTCGGCGAGAAGGTCCAGATGATGCCCAAGGGGCCCGCGGCCGACATTGTCAGGCGAGTGCTCGGCGAGATCCCCGCAGATCTGCAAGCGCTGTACGAGATCATGCTCCCAGTGAACAAGCAGTGCAAGCCCATCTTGCCGAGCGACAGCGACGAGCCAGACGAGGACACGCGCGCGTTCGACGCGGTCGCCTCCGTGCCCGAGGCGGCCAAGCCATACTTCGAGCAGTTCCAGGCAAACAGCATCGAGAACTACGAGAACGAGCGCGTCCTCGTGACAGAGGGGATCGTCGCCTGGTGCCGGCAAATCGCCGAGTTTGCCAAGAAGCGCCACGAGCTCGATCAACACGGGTACTTCATCAAGCGCGCCAAGATGGACGAGGACACCAAGTACCAGAGGAAGCTCGAGTACGAGAAGAATTTCTTCGACATCTACGTCCAGAAGAAGTTTCCGAGCTACTACAAGATTATCGAGGAGTACAAGGAGATGTGCGACGAGAAGAAGCGCAAGCAGGAGCTCAATACGTCCGAGGCGCAGGCTTGAGCCGAGCCAGGCTCAGCACGAGGCCTGATCGAGGCCTGAACGAGGAGCGAGCGGCGATGAGCGCCCAGCTCCCTCGAGTTCTTCGAGAGGCGTTATCCGAGAGGCTTCGCCAGCCCCCTCTCGAGCGTAAAATCGAGCGTAACTCCATCGAGGCTCGATCCTCGATCGATCTTCGGATCGAGGCTCCGAGAGCCTCGGGCCATCGTTGATCCGAGATCACAAGATCTCGGATCCCTGGCCCGAGAGCTCTGGACTCTCGATCGGAGGATCGATCCAGGATCGACCCTCTGTCTCAATGTCTCCCTCCTCTTCAAGGCGCGATCCTCGATAGATCTTCGGATCGAGGCTCCGAGAGCCTCGAGCCATCGTTGATCCGAGATCACAAGATCTCGGATCCCTGGCTCGAGAATCTTGGACTCTCGATCCGAGGATCGATCGAGGACGGAGGGGGGAAGGAAGAAGAGGAATTCTCGAGCGACGCAAGCAATTGCTCGAGGATTTCGCAAGCGAAACGAGATATTCGCCGAGGATGTCTCAAGCGAAACAAGGGGGATGTCTGAAGCAAAGCGAGGAATTTTCGAGGATGTCTCAAGCGAAACGCGAGATTTGTTTGAGGATGTCTCAAGCGAAACAAGGAGGATGTCTCAAGCAAAGCGAGGAATTTTCGAGGATGTCTCAAGCGAGACGCGAGATTTGTTTGAGGATGTCTCAAGCGAAACAAGATATTGCTAGAGGACGTTGGAGGGGGGAGGGAGAGAGAGAGAGAGAGAGAGAGAGAGAGAGAGAGGGGAGGGGAGGAGAAGAAGGAGGGAGGAGCGAGCGAGGAGGGAGGGGAGGAGGGAGGGAGAGGGCGAGAGGTGAGAGGGGGGAGGGAGGGAGAGAGAATGGAAGCGGCGGCGGCGACGGCAGCGACGACGGGGGCAGCGACGACGGCGGCGTCGTCGTCGTCGCTGTCGTCGGCGTCGGCGTCGTGGTCGTCGTCGTCGTCGCCGTCGTCGTCGTCGCCGTCGTCGTCTCTGCCGGTGTCGCTGCCGTCGTCGCTGCCGTCGCCCCTTCCCCCCTTCCCCCTCCCTCTCTCCTTCCCTCCCGCGCAGCGACGAGCGTCGAGGCAAGCCTCGAACCTCCGCGCTCTCGAGCACCAGTGGGCCTCGAGCTGAAATCTCGAGACTGCAAGGGCCTCGGGCCTCGGTGGATCTTCGAGGGGCGCAAGGGGGCGCCAATAGGTTTTTCGAGAAGGATTCCAAAAGAACCCCTGCAAGATTGCAAGGATGTTTCAGGCGAAACGAGCTCGTCTTCTTCTTGGCCTCTTGCTCTTCCTTCTCTTCCTTTCCTGCCTCCTACTTCCTTCTCGGTGTCTCTCTCGCCCTCTGTTTATCTAGCCTTTTCTTTATTTTTTATATCTCTGTCTGTTTCTCTCTCTGTTTTTTTTTGTTTCTTTATTTCTCTCTCTCTCTCTCTCTCTCTCTCTTTTTCTCTCTCTCTCTCTCTCTCTCTCTTTTTTTCTCTCTCTCTCTCTCTCTCTCTCTCTCTCTCTTTTTGTCTCTCTTCTCTTCTCTCTCTCTCTATCCTCTCCTCCTCCTCTCTCTCTCTCCCCCATGCGCCCCTCTCAACTTGGTTTTATCCCTGGGGGGTTGATTCTCCATGGGAAGTGAGGCGCATGAGCTACATACACGGAACTCAAAACAATCAATTTTAAGAAAGCGCTTGTAATTAAAATCTAATAGATTTGTGAACTTGATTTGTTTTGATATTGTTCTTCCTCTTCCCTTTCCTCCTTCTTTTTGCTTTAATTTATATTCTTATTTCTTTATACATTTCTTTAATTATTCTTCCCCCCCCCCCCCCCCCCCCCCGTGCCCCGCCTGAACTTGTTTATCCCTGCGGTTGATTGCCCATGGGAAGTGAGGCGCATGAGCTACCCTGCACGAGCACTCAAAAAAACAATTTTCTGAAAGCGCTTGTAAATTAAATATAATAGATTTGGAACTTGAAATGTTTGCGTTTTTTCTTCCTCTTATCTTCTCCTTTTTTTCTTCTTAAGTTACATTTCCATTATGTTATATGTTTCTTTATTTCTTTCTTTTTTCCTCTCTCTCTCTTTCTCTCTCTCTCCCTCCCATGCCCCCCCTGAAACTTGTTTAATTCCCTGGGTGATTATCCATGCAAGTGAGGACACATGGAGCACCCCTACAACGAGCACTCAAAAAAAAAACAGAAAAAAAGCGATTGTTAACTTAAATAATAATAAGTTTGGAACTTGATTTTTTTGTTTGATATTTGGTTCTTCTCTTATCTTCTCTTTTTTTTCTTTAATTTATATTCTTATTTCTTTATACATTTCTTTATTTCTTTCTTTCCCCCCCCCCCCCCCGTGCCCCCCTGAACTTGTTTATCCCTGGTGTTGATTATCCTCTTCTCTTCTCTTTCTCTTAATTCATATGTTTTTTTCTTTATATATGTCTTTATTTCTTTCTTTTTTCCACGGAAAGTGAGGCACATGAGCTCCTACACGAGCACTAAAAAAACAATTTTCATAAAGCGCTTGCAAATAAAATCTAATAGATTTGGAACTTGATTGTTTTGCTTTTCCTCTTCCTCTCCTCTTCTACTTCTCCTCTTGAATTTTTCTTCTCCTCTTCATTTTCATTATTCCTTTTCTCTCTCTCTCTCTCTCTCTTTCTATCTCTCTGTCTCTCTCCCCCCATGCCCCCCTGAACTTGTTTATCCCTGGGGTTGATCACCCGTGGAAAATCTGATAGCTTTTTTATATATACAAAAAAACCTCTCTGTATTTTTTTTTTTTTCTCTCTCTCTCTCTCTCTCTGTTCCTCTATCTCTCTCTCCTCTTGCTCCTCCTCCTGTCTTCTCCTTTCCTCTCCTCCTCTCCTTCCTCTCTTGCTTTTCATTATCTCCTCTCTCTCTCTCTCTCTTTCTTCCTTCGCCTGAGGATGCCTCAAGCGGAACGCGTTTGTCCTGGAACGTTTCAAGCGAAACGAGAAATCTATCCGTAGTTGCTTCATTGCTCAAGCTTTCAAGTTACGAGCATTCGACCCCGACGCGCCAGGGCGCCCCGGCTAGAAGCTCGAGGATGTCTCAGCCGAGCTTCATCAAGCAAGAGGTGCGCGCCAAGCTACCCCAGAGTGCCATTGCCGAGAATCCCGATAAGGTCGAGAAGCCTAAGAACCTGAAGCGCGAGAACCTCAAGAAGGAGGAGAAACCGCTTCAGGACGCCAAGGGAAGCGGCAGCGAGAAGCCGCTCGAGGATCGGGTCGGGCGAAAGGGGGGGATTGGGAAAGGGGGGGGTACGAAATTTGCTGCATGCAGCTGGTTTCGGCCTCGCCCAGGGGCCCATTCCTCGACGCGCAGGCGCCGGAAGGCGCCGGGAAAATCAGCTACGCGAGCTGATTCTCAACCCCCCCCCTTTGCTACCCCCCCCTTTCGCTTGACCCGAGAGGACGACAAGGGCCAGAAGCGCGGCAGACACCTGCGCGAGATCTCGAGCAGCAGCGACAACGAGGAGAAGCGAGCCTGGCAGAAAGCCAAGCGCCGCAAGTCGGCACCGCAGCCCGAGGACGAGGAACCCGAGGGCGACGAGCCCGAGGACGAGGGGCCCGAGGACGGCGACCCCGAGTCGGTCCACACGCCTGCTCTACACTTGCTGCCCGAGCGGCTCCAGCGCATGCGGGCGCTCGAGGGCCCGCCCTAGCATCGCCAAAGCCTTCTCGAGATAGCCGAGGCTCGTCTCATTCGAGGAATTTTAGTAAAGCGACGCTTCTCGCAAGGAAAACATTTCGAGAGCCTCGAGGAAGCCAAGAGAACCCCGAGAGGACAATAATTTCTTCAAGAGCCGCCACCCCAAAGGGATAACAGGAGCACGAGGGGGGGGGGAGGAGGAGGAGGAGGAGGAGGAGGAGGAGGAGGGGGAGGAGGAGGAGGAAGAGGAGGGCCAGGAAGATCCCAGCGAAACAAGCAACTGTTCAAGGAATTATCCAGCGAAACGAGCAATTATTGCAGCGAAACAAGCATGCATTCGAGGATGTTTCAAGCGAAATAAACAATTATTTGAGAACGTCTTAAGCAATTGTTCGAGGACGTCTCAAGCAAGGAGGCACAAACGCCAAGAAAACGCAAGGCGAACTTAGGAAAAAAAGGACAACGAGAGAACCCCGAGAAACCCAAGAGGACACCAAGAGAACCCGAAGAGACCGAACAACAAGCTCCGTAGCCATTTGGTGGCTCAAGATTTCGAGCTCTCCAAGATAACTTACTTGCTCCAAGTCGACAATGAACCAACGGTCTCGATCGAGATCGCCGAGATCCATGGCTGACCGCCACGAGAGCCGTTGGCGAGACATCTTCCCCGAGAACGCTGCTCTTCTCCCGAGAGATTGGCGAGGAACCTTTTCCGAGGAGAGCCTCCCATTTGAGAACGCCCAAGACATGTTCGAGGGGCTGCGGCAAGAGCTCGGGCTCCCACGGCCGCCCGAGAACACGCAGCAGCACCTGGCCGAGAACACGCAGCAGCACGAGGCCGAGGTCGAGCACAGCGGCGACGAGCTCGAGGCCGAGGCCGAGAGTCCGAAATTTCGAGAGTTTGAGCTACCCAAGGAAGCCGGGAGCGAGACCGCCGAGCCTGACGAGGAGGGCAGCAGGCCCCAGGAGCTATCGCCCGAGGAGAGCAAGCGCCAGGAGCAACTGCCCGAGGAGAGCTCTCGAGAGCCCGAGGTGCCCGACGACGAGGACAGCAATCGCCAGGAGCTCGTGCCCGAGGAAGTCAAGCGCCAGGAGCTCTTGCCCGAGGAGAGCAAGCGCCTCGGAGAGGAATCCGAGGCTTACGTTGTTTTTTCCAGCCCCGACACTGGGGCGACCGAGCCCGCCTCAGACGCCGAGGCGCTAGCCTTCGCGTCGCATGGGCGCAAGCGGAGCCAGTGGGACCTCGAGGGGCGCTCAAGTTAGACACCGACGCCCACAGTGCTTCGAGAAAACAACGAAGAGAGCGTCGAGACGGGGCCAAGGATTATCTAATGGCCTTAAGCGAAGGAGGAGCAGGGGGAGGAGGATGAGGGGCAGGAGGAGGAGGAGGAGGAGGAGGAGGAGGGAGAGGAGGAGGAGGAGGAAGAGGAGGAGGAGGAGGAGGAGGAGGAGGAGGAGCAAGAGGAGGAGCAGGAGCGAAGCAAGACATTTTCCGAGGATGTCGCCAGCAAGCAAATATTTATTCGAGGATGCCTCAAGCGAAACAAATAAGTTTGCAAGGATGTCTCGGGCGGGCCAAATAATCATTTCAAGGGTGCTTAAAGCAAAATAAGAAATAGCTTGAGAATGTTTCAAGCGGAATAAACAATCGCCTCAGGATGTCAAGCGAAATAGCCAATAGTATAAGGATGTCTCAAGCAATTGTTGGACGAGGTCTCCAAGGAAACAAGCATATAGTCGAGGATGTCTCCAGCAAAATAGAAGATCTGCCGAGGATGTCCCAAGCGAAGCAAACGTTCATTCGAGCATGTCACCAGCGAAGCTAAGGTATTTCGAGGATGTCTCAAGCAAGGCGAACGTGCTTTCGAGGATGTCTTTCTCCGTGGCTCACTCGAGCTCAAGACTTTTGAGTGCGAGCGAGAAACGCACCCAGAACGAGCAAGCCCGAAGCGGCATGGCCAATCAAGTGACGGCGTCCAAGAGGCCAGCGCAGGCCGCGAGGGAGTCCAAGCCCACTGTCGTCAAGAAGCCAGCGCAAGCAGTTTCGAGGGAATCCAAGCCGACAGTCTCGAAGAAGCCGTCGAGGGCGCAGATCGAAAGGAAGGCGAGCACCGACAAGCTCGACGCAGTCGTCCAGGTCGAGACGGAGGTCAAGATGGAGACGACGCTCAAGCCCGAGAGTTCATGGAGCGAGACGGAGATCGAGACCCACCTCGACCCCGCCCAAGAGGCCGAGCTTCATGCCTCTTGGAGGGCCGAGAGGTTCAACTCGGGCGAGCTCACGGGGCCCCAGGGCGACGAGCCCCAGCCTCGCTAGGTTAGCCGAGGCCAGCAGTCTAGCGATGCTTAGCGAGAGAAAAAATCTCGAGAGCCTCAGCCTCGAGGCTCGACCCTCGATGAAATCAGGAGAGCCCCGAGAGAACAAGCATTTGTTCAAGGATGTCTCTAGCAAATGAACAACTTTTCAAGGATGTGTCAAGCGAAACAAGCACTTATTTCAAGGATGTCTCAAGGATGTCTCAAGGTGTTTCAAGACTGTCTCGAGGATGTCTTAAGCGAACCAAGCATATACTGAAGGATGTCTCAAGCGAAACGATACGTTTCTTAAGGATGTCTCAAGCGAAGACAACAATTCTGTGAGGATGTCCCAAGCGAAACCAAGAATTTGGGGACGCAGACTCAAACGAAACGAGCAATGTTTCAAGGATGTCTCAAGCGAAACCAGCAATTTTGCGAGGATGTCCCAAGCGATTCGAGAAGCTTGTCGAGGATGTCTCAAGCGAAACAAGCATATACTCGAGGATGACCCAAGCGATTCGAGAAGCTTGTCGAGGATGTCTCAAGCGAAACAAGCATATACTCGAGGATGTCTCAAGCGAAACAAGCATATACTGAAGGATGCCTCTAGCAAATGAACAACTGTTCAAGGATGTGTCAAGCGAATTAAGCAATTGTTTCAATGATGTCTCAAGGATGTCTCAAGGTGTTTCAAGACTGCCTCGAGGATGTCTTAAGCGAAACAAGCAATCATTTGAAGAATGCATCCAGCGAGATAAGCAATACTTTGAGGAGATCGCAAGCGAAATACATCAGATGTCATTGTTCGATTGCTGCTTTCTTTCATTGGTCCTTCTTTCTTTTTCCTTTGTTTCTCTCCCTCTCTCTCTCTCTCTCTCTCTCTCTCTCTCTATGTTTTTGTTTGCCCATCTCCCCCCCCCCCCCCTTCTCCCCGCCTGAACTTGCTTATCCCTGTGGTGGATTATCCATGGAAAGCGAGGCGCATGAGCTACCCTACACGAGCAAAAAAATCAGAAAGCGCTTGTAAATTAAATCTAATAGATTTGGAACTTGAATTTTTTACTCTTTTTCTTCCTCTTCTCTTCTCCTTCTGTTTTCTTAATTTATATTTTTATGTATTTACATATTTATTTATTTCTTTTTTTCCTCTCTCTCTCTCTCTCTCCCCCCATGCCCCCCTGAACTTGTTCATCCCTGGCGTTGATTATCCATGGCATGTGAGGCACATGAGCTACCCTACACGAGCACTCAAAAAAAACAATTTTCAGAAAGCGCTTGTAAATTAAATCTAATAGATTTGGAACTTGATTGTTTTGCCTTTTGTCTTCCTCTTCTCTTCTCCTTCTCTGAATTTATATTTTTTTATTTCTTTATATATTTCTTTATTTCTTTCTTTTTTTCCTCTCTCTCCCCATGCCCCCTGAACTTGTTTATCCCCGGGGTTGATTATCCACGGAAAGTGGGGCACATGAGCTACCCTACGCGAGCACTTAAAACTTTGAAGTTTCATAAAGCGTTTGTAATTAAAAATTTCATACATTTGAATCTTCAGATTTTTTGTTTTATCCTCCTTTCCTCTCCTCTTCTACTTCTCATTTCTTTTATGAATTTCCCTCAACCCTCTCTTTGTTTTCTTTAATTCTCTCTTTATATCTTTCTCTTTCCCCATGCGCCCCTGAACTTGTTTATCCCCGGGGTTGATTATCCGCGGAACGTGAGGCGCATGAGCTCCTACACGAGCACTAAAAACCAGTTTCATAAAGCGTTTGTAAATAAAATATAATAGATTTGGAAGTTTAAATTTTTGCGTTTCTAGATAAAATCTGATGGATTTGAAACTTGATTTTTTTGCTTTTTCCTCCTCCTCCTCTATCTGTCTGTCTTTATGTATATCTTCTCTTATTCTTATTCTTATTCTTACTATTCTTCTTCTTTATTACAGGATTTTTTTACATATTATTTTTTTCTGCGAAATGTGTCATATCTTTCTTATTTTTTTCCTTTTTATTAAAAAAAACTTTTTTGTATTCTTTTTTTGTTTCCCCTCTCTCTCTCTCTCTCTCCCTCTCTCTCTCTCTCTCTCTCTCTCTCTCTCTCTCTCTCCCAGCACAACCCCCCCAGCACAACCCTCCAGCACAGCCCTCCAGCGCAACCCTCCAGCACAACCCTCCAGCACAACCCTCCAGCACAACCCTGCATCGCAACCCCTCAGCACAACCTCTTGAGGTTTATTATCGTCGGCAGTTTTTTATCACCGGCAGTGCTCGATAGCAGCTCCTGAGCTCTACGGGGACACGGCGGCGTGCAAATGATGCCCGTGTTTTTGAAAAACTTCATTTTGAAAAAAATATGTTTTATTTAATTGCGAATTCCATTGGGATCTTTTCGAATTTGCGAAATAGAGCCGCCAGGCGCTTGAATGCCGCACTGCGTTCGAGATTTAGGCGAAAGCGTGCGCGACGCAATTTTCTCATGATACTTTTTTTTTTTTTTTTGAAAAACCTTATTTTGACAAAAAAACAAAAAAAACTATATTTGGTTGCGAATTCCATTGGAATCCTTTCGAAATTGCGAATTCGAGTCCGCGCGCGCCTGAACGCCGCGCTGCGCTCGATATTCGGGCAAGAGCGCGTGCGACGCAAATTTCTCACAAATGCGTCGCGCGCTTAAATCTCGAACGCAATGTGGCATTCAAGCGCCTGACGGCTCGATTTCGCAATTTTGAAAGGATTACAATGGAATTCGCAATTATTTTTTTTTGTTTTCCAAATGAAGTTTTTCAAACAATGCGTATCATTTGCGTGCCGCCGTCTTCCTGGAGAGCTCAGGAGCTGCAATTGACCGCTGCCGATGATAAAAAACTGCTGACGATAATAAACCTCAGCCGATGATAAAAAAAAACTGCCGACGATAATAAACCTCGGAGGAGCGCGCGGCGGGGAAGAGAGAGAGAGAGAGAGAGAGTCTCCTCTCTCTCTCTCTCTCTCTCTCTCTCTCTCTTTTTGTTTGTTTGTTTTTCTCTCTCTCTCTCTTTCTCTTTCTCTTTCCCTTTCTCTCTCTCTCTCTCTCTCTCTCTCTCTCTCTCTCTCTCTTTCCCTCCCTCTCTCTTCTTTCTCTCACTATCTCTCTCTGCTCAAGGTGAGCTGCTGAAGCAGAGCTGCTCAAGCAGATGGCTGCTCAGAGAGCAGAACCAGACAATGAGACCTTCGAGAATGTCTCAAGCGAACCCAGTGTTTCTTCGAAGATGTCTCAAGCGAATCAAGCATGTTTTCAAGGATGTCTGAGGCGAAGCGAACAATTCTGCAAGAACGTCTCGAGGGAGGCCAAATGTTGATTCGAGGAAATCTCAAGCAACATGATTATCCCTGATCTCTCTCTCTCATCTCTCTCTCTCTCTCTCTCTCTCTCTCTCTCTCTCTCTCTCTCTCTCTCTCTCTCTCTCTCTCTCTCTCTCTTTTTCTTCTTCTCTTCTCTCTCTTCTCTCCTCTCTTCTACTCTCTCTCTCTCTCTCTCTATCTGTCCTCGTTTACTCTCTCTCTCTCTCTCTCTCTCTCTCTCTCTCTCTCTCTCTCTCTTCTCTCTCTCTCTCTCTCTCTCATCTTTCTCTCTCTGCTCAAGCTGAGCTGCTGAAGCAGAGCTGCTCAAGCAGATGGCTGCTCAGAGAGCAGAACCAGACAATGAGACCTTCGAGAATGTCTCAAGCGAACCCAGCGTTTCTTCGAAGATGTCTCAAGCGAATCAAGCATGTTTTCAAGGATGTCTGAGGCGAAGCGAACAATTCTGCAAGAACGTCTCGAGCGAGGCCAACAAATGTTGATTCGAGGAAATCTCGAGCAACAGCACCAGATGCTTATTTCAAGCAGATCCAGCAGCGATGTCCAAGCATCGACTCGAGAACAACATTCGTGCTTAGACTATTTGGCTCAAGCCTTTCGAGCCACCCTTTCGAGGCCCTCGAGCAGGCCGCCGCGCCACCGCTCCAGCAAGCCTTTCGAGCCTGTCGCGCCTCGAGTACGATGAGCACGCCTGTCAAGCGGCAGTCAAGCTTGTCGAGCTTGTGGGGCCTTTCAAGCCCGAGCCCGGCGGACACTCCGACCTCCCACAAGAAGCTTCGAGCCTCGCCTCACTTGTCCGAGGAGGCCAAGAGCAGTTTCTTCAAGGATCTCGAGGAGAAGAGGCTCGAGGCGGAGCAGGCCGAGAAGGGGCGCCTCGCAGCCGCGGCTGAGCGCCGAGCGAAGGCGAGCGCCGAGGGCAAGGTGCTCGACCCCGCCGACTTCGGCCGAGGCGTCGCCCGAGGAGCGACCAAGGGCGGCAGACCCGAGGGCACGAATCGCAAGTACACGGGGACGCGCGAGCCCCGAGCAGCTCCCACCCTGCGCCGAGACCCACCAGCGCAGTGCAAGCTTCAAGTCGTCCTCGACTGGTGCAAGCAGGCCGAGGAGCACGAGGTCGCGGACATCAGCCAGCTGCCGAGCAACGTCAAGGCGCAGCTCATCGAGAAATGGCACTGGCCCTACCCCACGGTCAAGAGCTGGACCGAGAAGAGAGCGGCTTTCGAGAAGCTCGTCGCCACGGAGAGGCTCGGCAAGAACGGCCTCCGAGCCTGCGGCCGAGTTCGGGCCTATCAGGCCAAGGCAGACAGGAGCCAAGGCGCGAGGATCCAGAGCTACACTCCTGGCCGAGCACGCCCCAAGCGCCCCCTCGAGGGAGTCATGGGCCGACTCGAGGTCTGGTTCAAACGAGAGCGCACGTACGGCCACGAGGTCCGCAACAAGACGATCTTAACGAGACTCAAGTACGAGCTCGAGTGGGAGAGAGACAGAAAAAGAGCACCTCAAGGACGCGAGCCACGTCGTCTTCAACTCCCAGATCCTCAACCGAGTCACCAAGCGGCTCCAGACCTTCAATATCAACAACCTCTGCCGCAAGGACGCCAAGTGGATCGAGGAGACCGTTCTCCCGAGGCTCCAAGCAGTCGGACGGAAAGGCCAACGCCTCTCCGAGCAGCGCAACAAGGGCCTTTCCGAGTCCAAGGCCAAGTTGACGCGGGCCACGAGCGACCGCTTCATCCACCTCGTTTCCAGGGGCACGGCCGAGGAACTCGCCATGTTCGTCGGGGACACCGAGAGCTTTATCGAGAACAGGCAAGCCACGGGCGTCGTCGTGGTCGACGCCACCGCGCTGTGGATCAAGCTCAGGGGCGAGGAGAAGGTCTACCTCCACGAGAGCGAGCTCGAGGCCGCAGGCCACAAGAAACGAATCGAGAAGCTCCGCCGCAAGTCCCGCGAGACGCAGAGCGAGGCAGACAAGGCAGCTTGGGAGATCGAGAGAACCAAGTTCTACGAGGATCACGGCGACCAGAAGGAGCAAGTATATCAAGCTTACTCCAGCGCAGGCGACAAGTATCGCCTCACGCTGATCAACGCATCGGGCCTCGAGAATTGGTTCGACCCAACCAAGGGCCCCAAGTCGAGCAAGAAGCGCTCGATCGTTCTAGTGCCCTGTGCGAGGCACTGCAAGATCTCCGATATGGATCTCGAGAGCGGCAAGTGGCTCCGTGACGTCAGTTACGAGCGAAGCGACGGCGAGGCCGAGGTCCTCCGAGCAGGCGAGAACATCGGCCAGATTCTCAAGGGTTGGCGCCAAGCCCTTCTCGAGTTTGAGCCCGAGCAGCGCGCCAAGATCTTCGAGCAGATTGACATCTGGGGCCAGCCTCGAGCTTGGACCGACGAGCTCACAGCGAGCTGGGCGATCGACTTTATCCAAGCCGAGTACGGACAAGCTCTCGTGTTCGCCGACTGTCTCTCGAGCCAGTGGACCGAGGCCGTCGCGCTCCGAGCGTGGCTCAAGCAGATCGTCTACGCGCCGATGGCTCCAGACGTGACGAGCTTCCTCCAGGAGCCCGACGCGCACGAGCACTCGCAGCTCAAGGCAACCACTCGCGAGGTGAAGTCCGAGATCCACTGGGCGATCGAGCAAGACTGGATCCAGAAGGTCAAGGCCGAGCCCGAGAAGAACTACAAGTACCCGAGCAATTGGGGGCCATACGAGTGCATCTACTGCGTCTCCGAGGCGCACAAGCGCTTCCGCGAGAAGAACGCCGAGACCGCCCCACTCCAAGGCATGCAAGCGAACCAGATGCTCGCAGTGAGGCCGGGAGAGGCGGAGGACGAGGATGAGGGGGAGGAGGAGAGGAGGAGGAGAGGAGGAGGATGATCAGGAGGTGGAGGGGGAGGAGGAGGAGGAGGAGGGACGGAGGAGGAGAAGAAGAAGAGGAGGAGGAGGACGAGGAGGAGGAGAGGGAGTCGCTCGGCGAGGAGGAGGAGGAGGAGAGAGAGGAGAACAAGGAAGAGGAATATCTCGAGCCTTGAGCTTCAATCCCCAGCGAATTCAAGAAAACCCTTCGAGGATTGCCGAGAAGGGTCCCAAGATGACCCCAAGCATTTCTTCGATGTTGTCTCAAGCGAAATAAGCAATAGTTAGAGGATGTCTCAAGCGAAATAGATAATAGTTTGAAGATGTCTCACATGAAATAAGCAATAAGATGAGGATATTTCAAGCGAAATAACGATAGTTTTAGGATGTCTCAAGCAATAATTTGAGGAACCCTCCAGCGAAATAAGCAATAGTTTGAGGATGTCTCACGCGAAACATAATTAGTTCGAGGATCTCTCAAGCGAAATCAGCAATAGTTTGAGGGTGTCTCAAGCGAAATACGCAATAGTTTGAGGATTCTCAAGCGAAAAACGCTATAGTTTGAGGATGTCTCAAGCAATAATTTGAGGATGTCTCCAGCGAAATAAGCAACCGTATGAGGGTGTCTCAGCAATCTCTATTTATTACTCTCAATTTCTTTTTCTGCTTGTTTCCTCATCTCTTTCTCCCTCTCTCTCTCTCTCTCTCTCTCTCTCTCTCTCTCTCTCTCTCTCTCTCTCCTCTCTCTCTCTCTCTCTCTCTCTCTCTCTCTCTCTCTCTCTCTCTCTCTCTCTCTCTCTCTCTCTCTCTCTCGCTCTCTCCCTCTCCGCGCGCCCGTGAACTTTTTTATCCCTGGGTTTGATTATCCATGGAAAGTGAGGCGCATGGGCTACCCTGCACGAGCACTTAAAAAAAACAATTTTCATAAAGCGCTTGTAAATAAAATCTAATAGATTTGATGTTTGTATTTTCCTCCATCCTTTCTTTTCAATTTATTTATTTATTACCTGGTTTTTGTTTAATTTATCTTCCTGTCCCTCTCCACGCGTCCCGGAACTTTTTCATCCCTGGGGTTGATTATCCATGGAAAGTGAGGCACATGAGCGACCCTACACGAGCACTTGAAAAAAAATCAATTTCCATAAAGCGCTTGTAAATAAAATCTAATAGATTTGAAACTCGATGTGTTTCTTTCTCCTTCTCCTCCTCTCATTTATTTTATCATTTTTCTTCATTTCAATTTCTTTTTCAAATAGCTTCCTCCATTCCTCCGCCCGCCTGAACTTTTATTATCGCCGCGGTTGATTATCCAGGGGCACCGAGGCGGATGAGCTATTCCGAGGATGTCTCAAGCGAAACAAGCATATACTCGAGAATGCCCCAAGCGAAACAAGCGTTATACTGAAGGATGTCTGAAGCGAAACGATGCGTTTCTTAAGGATGTCTCAAGCGAAAACAGCAATTGCTCGAGGATGTCTCAAGCGAACCGAGAGTTTCGACAAGGATGTCTCAAGCGAAACGAGTGATTTGTCGGGGATGTCTCAAACAAAACAAGTAACCGAGGATATCTCAGAGGACAAGGAGGAGGAGAAGGAGGAGGGGGGGGCCGCGGCGAGGCCGACCGAGCAGAACGAGCTGAAGGTCGTCACAGGCGAGGAGCCGTGGAGCTACTCCACCGAGCCTGGCCGAGGCATCGAGCCGAGACTGGCCAAGGAGAGACTCGACGCGGTTGCGAGCTGGCCCGAGAACGCCCCCCCCCCCCCCCGATTCCCGATTGGAGCATACTGGACGGCGAGTGCTTCCGAGTCGAGGACTTGCCGAAGGACTACGAGGACGACGAGAACCCTTGCCCCCTCGAGCTTGCAGGGCTACACCTCGAGCTCACAGACGAGCAGCGAGACATGCTCAGGCCGCCCGAGGAGCGCATCAAGGAGATCCAGTTCCCGCACGCCCTCGCGGGCCGAGTGCGCTCGCTGCGAAACAGCCGCCGCCGCAAGAACAAGTGGGCGAGCAAGTTCCGAAGCCAGTACGTGGGCAAGCTAGCGGCCAAGTGGAACAAGGCGAAGCGCAACCAGGATGGCCGAGACGCCCTCGACAGCAAGAGCCGAAGCATCGCCAAGGCGAAGCTGTCGGGGCGAGCCCCCATGCCGACGGGGAGCTTCGCGGAGAAGTCCAAGCAGAAGGGGAAGGCCAAGCGGAACCAGAGCGCCCAGGACAAGAAGAGAGGCCAAGCGGGCCTCAAGGAGTGCAAGGACTCGCCCTGGCACGGCGAGAGCATCCGCGTCAACGAGGAGTGCGTCCACGAGGGGAGGCGCGGGAGAATCCAAGACGTCTGGAGCGTCATGGACACCGAGGGCGAGTACCAGTTCCGAGTGCTCGAGGTCGAGACGTCGGCGATCTTCCAGATCCGCTCCAGCCAGGCTCGAGGGCCAATGGGGCGCGAGCGGAAGCCGAGCAGAAGGGCCAGCGGAAGCCGAGCGGAAGTTGGCGCAGAAACCGAGCGGAAGGGAATTCGCGCGGAAGCCGAGCGGAAGGGCAGCGGAAACCGAGCGGAGTTTGCCCCCATCCGTCGGTCCTCGAGCCTGGGAGGTCGTGGTCGAGGAGGAGTGGGCGAAGGCCAAGCCCGCCAAGATGGATTACCGAACCCTGAGGAAGGCCAGGCGCACCGAGCTGGCCAAGCACCTAGCCATCACCAACTGCGAGTTCGTCGAGAAGAAAAGGGCCCTCGAGCTCGGCACGATGAAGGCTTTCATTGGCGAGATCGCGGAACGAGTTGGCCAGCCGCCAGGCGTCGAGCTAATCGAGCCGACGATTGCTGTTCTCTGGGTTCGAGAAGACCATGGCGACGACGCGGCCACTGCCGAGGCGCAAGAGGAGCAGAAGGCCTGGCGCGAGAGGATCAAGAACGCCAAGGTTCTGCTCATCTGCGTCTGGTCCGACAACCCGATGCACTACACGTACCTCAAGGTGGCCGAGGAGGAATTCCAGGACGTGGCCATCGAGCACCGAGACTCTCTCAAGGTGCCGTCCGAGTCCGCCAAGGAGGCGGCCACGAGAATCCTGCGCAAGCTCTTTGGGCCTGAGGTGGAGCGCCCCCTCCGAGCAACTCGAGATACCAAGTGGATGGGTGGTCCCGCGGATTGTGGGTGGCGAGGTGGTTCGAGCGCGCCCTGCGCGAGCTCCGCGGCGAGGGCCGCCAGCCGCCAAGCAGCATCAGCGACATCTGCGCCCGAGGTAACGAGTGGACCGAGAAGCTGAAGAACGCGAGCGACGCCAAGCCCAAGGGCAAGGCCAAGGCCACGGCCAAGGGCAAGGCCCCGGATCCGTTCGTGCCCGAGCCCAAGCACGCCAACCTCGAGGCAGCACTGCAAGCGGCCAAGGAGTGCAAGAAATGCTTGCAGCTCAAGGATGGCAGTAAAGGCTGCCGAGCCTGTATGGGCGAGCACTTCGAGCCAGTGCGCCACAAAGGCTTTTTGTCGAGGGCAGCCAAGGACTTCGAGCTCGCGTGCATGAAGCTTTAACCGCGAGCATGCGCCCTCGAGAACTATAAACAATACCCAAGCGAAAAGAGCATATGTTCGAGGAAGCCTCAAGCGAAACACAATTATTTCGAGGATGTCTCAATCGAAATACGCAATAGTTCCAGGATGTCTCAAGCGAAATTAGCCATAGTTTGAGGATACCTCAAGCGAAATACGCAATAGTTTCAGTATGTCTCAAGCAATAGTTTGAGGATGTCTCCAGCGAAATAAGCAATAGTTTGAGGATGTCTCACGCGAAACACCATTAGTTCGAGGATGTCTCAAGCGAAATAAGCAAGTTAGTTTGAGGGTGTCTCAAGCGAAATATGCAATAGTTTGAGGGTGTCTCAAGCGAAATACGCAATAGTACTTTGGGGTGTGGTTGCGGACGCGACAGCATCGAGCATTACTCACGGTGCGCCGTGGTGAGGAGGGAGCTCACCAGCTCATTGCACACCCACCGTGACTGGTACCTCCCACTTTGGATCGGCATCGACGACGCCCAGCACGCGGAGAACATGGTGGTTCTTGGAGCGTTCGGTGCGTACGCCGCCTACCGGGCCACCAACGCGGCGCGCCGCGCCGGGGGTCTCCCGGCTCCTGAAGGCGCGCGGGCTCTCCAGCAAGCTCTACGTGACGCTGTTGCTGGCCACGCGTCATCGGAGGGACTTTTTTCGAGCATCTGGCGGCGCGCGGCCGCGGCAGGCAGGTGAGGCTCGGAGCGCGGCGGTGGCTCGCCTGTAGCAGCCCAAGGTCGTTAGCAGTTTCCCCTCCCCCTCCCCCCTTTTCCTCCTCCGTCTCCGTCCTCCGCTTCCCCTCCTCACCCCCTCATTGTGTCAACCGTGATGCAGGTTTTTCGGGCCAGCCGGAGGGCCAGTGTTGCTGCCGAGACGCTCGTCGAGGGCAGTCCTCCTCCCCTCCCCTCTCCGTCCTCTTCCTCCTCTCCCCCCACACTGTTTCAACCGGGATGCAGTTTTGTCGGGCCGGCCGGAGGGCCAGTGATGCTGTCGAGACGCTCGTCGAGGGCGGTCCTCCTCCCCTCCCCCCTCCGTCCTCCGCCTCCGTCCTCCGCCTCCCCTCCTCACCCCCACTTTGTTTCAACTGGGATGCAGTTTGTCGAGCGGGCCGGAGGGCCAGTGATGCTGCCGAGACGCTCGTCGAGGGCGGTCCTCTTCCCCTTCCTCCTCCGTCCTCCGCCTCCGTCCTCCGCCTCCTCCCGCTCTCGCTTTCCTCTTCTGTTTTCGGTGGTGGTGAGTCTTCTACGCAGTGGTAGTTTGCATGATGTCTTGCATGAGTTGTTTGTCATTCCCAGGTCGTGCTGCGTTGAAGGAGTGCTTCGATCTCCCGAATGCGCACGCCACCTGCCCGCGGGCCCGCCGCTTCTGCGCGGGCGGCGCCGGCGTCCCGCCAAGCGTGCTTGCCGGGCGTTTCGCCCCGTCTTGTCCAGAAATTCGCGGTTGGCCCCTTGCGGGCTCGAGCTGCTGCCACATCCTGCCGGCGCAATTCGCCCTCCCCTTCGCTCCTCGTTGGCTCCTCTCTCCTCTCCCCCCAGCTGTATTCGAACAGATTTGATGTTTCAACCTGCCTGCAGCATCGTTCGCTCCCACACTTGGCGTAGCTCCTCTGCCTAGGCATGAGGCTTTGCTCTGGCTTTTCTGATCTCCGCTCGTGTGGGTCCTCTGTGCGGGTACTTTCTCCGGCACTGGCCGTGGAGATCGGTCTACGCACGCACGAGTTTGAGTTCACAGTTTACCTGCAGCTGTCTGGAATGGCTATCCGAAGATTGTTGCCTGGGGCAGGCCATATTTCCAATGCTCGGCGTGCAGGCTGTAGGGTAATCCACGGTTGTCGCTTGAGCTCGCTCCTTTCCTCTTCCTCCTCCTCCTCTTCTTCCTCGTTCGCTTTCCTCTCCACTTGCGTTGGGCACCAGTGCGAGTCCCGCCAGTTTGGACTGGTATGGGGTACGCGCGCGCGAGTTCATATTTTAGCCGCGATTCCATAGAAGCATCCGCGCGACGGACACGGAAATTTGCTACTACAGTCAGCTCGTTTCCGCATGTCTCATTTCGGCTTGTGCGTTTTCCGCCGGTAGTCGCAGACTGCACCGAGTGAGACGAGTGGTATTATGTTCTTCGGTGGTTCGCGTCCTCCCCTCTGCCCTCCCTCCCCCTCTCCAAAATAGTTGCGCTGGAAAACAAATTTGAAGATGTCTCAAGCAATAGTTTGACGATGTCTCCAGCGAGATAAGCAATAGTTTGAGGGTGTCTCAAGCGAAGCACGCATTTTTTTCGAGGATGTCTCAAGCGAAATAAGCAATAGTTTGAGGATGTCTCAAGCGAAATAAGCAATAGTATGAGGGTGTCTCACGCGAAATACGCAATAGTTCCGAGGATGTCTCAAGCGAGATAAACAATAGTTTGAGGGTGTCTCCAGCGAAATAAGCAATAGTATGAGGATGTCTCAAGCGAAATAAACAATAGTTTGAGGGTGTCTCAAGCGAAATAAGAAATAATTTGTGGATGTCTCAAGCAATTACGCAATAGTTCCAAGATCTTTCAGGCGAAATCAGCAATAGTTTGAGGATGTTTCAAGCGAAAAACACAATCATTTCGAGGATGTCTCAAGCGAAATAAACAATAGTTTGAGGGTGTCTCAAGCGAAATAAGCAATAGTTTGTGGATGTCTCAAGCGAAATACGCAATAGTTTAATGGGTGTCTCAAGCGAAATAAGCAATAGTTTGTGGATGTCTCAAGCGACATACGCAATAGTTTCAGGATGTTTCAGGCGAAATCAGCAATAGTTTGAGGATGTTTCAAGCGAAAAACACAATCATTTCGAGGATGTCTCAAGCGAAATAAACAATAGTTTGAGGGTGTCTCAATCGAAATAAGCAATAATTTGTGGATGTCTCAAGCGAAATACGCAATAGTTTCAGGATGTTTCAGGCGAAATCAGCAATTGTTTGAGGATGTTCCAAGCGAGAAACACAATTATTTCGAGGATGTCTCAATCGAAATAAGCAATACTTTGACGGTGTCTCAAGCGAAATAAGCAATAGTTTGTGGATGTCTCAAGCGAAACAAGGGATTTGCTGAGGATGTCTCCAGCGAGATAAGCCATTGTTGAGGATATTTCTATGGAGACTAAACGCCAAGGATGTCTCAAAACGTGCTCGGCTTGGCTTCTCTTGATCATCTCTTACTTCGAGATTATGCTGAGGTCTGTTGGGCTACTTTGATTATCTCCCCGTGAACCCCGAATTTTATTATCCCCTAGTGTTTATTCTCACGGGTTAGCGGTTATAATATAATATAATATAATAGTTTATCATATAATATAATATAATATACTATAACACAATATGATATAATATGATATAATATGATATATGTATATATACACGTGCGTGTGTGGAAAAGGAATGGAGGGGGAGAAGGTGAAGGAGAAAAAGGAGGGAAGGGAGGTGGAGGAGGGGGGAGGGGGGAGGAGGGAAAAACGTCGCACTGTATTATCAGCAGTTCCCTGGCGTGGCGCCAAGCTGTGCGCAGCAGGTCCTCACCGACATGCTGCTTCTACTTGTCCTGTGCACGCACGCGCTGTGGTGTACACCAGCGATGCGTTGCACGCGGGCGCTGTGGTGCAGACACGCGCTGTGGTGTGCGCAGGCTCTGCGGTGCACTCAAGCAGGGTGGTGTTCACAGGTGCTGTGTTGCACATGGTTGCTGCGGTGTACATATGCATGAACTGTGGTGTGCACCGGCGCGTGGTTCACAAAAGCTTTGTGGTGTACAAAAGCGCTGCGTTGCACGCGCGCTGTACACAGGCGATGTGGGGCAGATCGCCACCTACATGCTGTTCGCGTCGTCGTCGTCGCTCGTCGCTCATCGTCGTCGTGTGCGCGGGCGCGGCTGTGGTGCCCGAGACACACGGCGAGGGGGGGGCGCCACGTCATAACCCCCCCCGACCCCCCCCCATGACGCCCGTCATCGCCGAAAACAAAGGAACGTTCTCCTGGGGGCATCATTGGAAGGTTCTGTGGCTATTCTTGGAGACGTTTTGTCTGCGACTTTGAGCCATATTGGGCAGTTATGTGCGATCTGGGATGTCATGTTGGGTTATCTGGGGTCATGTTGGAGCCATCTTGGGTTGAAAAATGACCGTCCGACACCTCGAAGAGCTGCCCCTCCGGACCCAGGGGTCGGCACTTCACCTCATAAGGCGGGTGAACCTATATTGCGTATTTACCGCCACTGTGGTGGTTCAGGCACGCGTGCATCTGCAGTAAAAGGTGCTGCGCCCCTTCCCTCCGCATCTCTGACACCCCAGCTCTCATCTTATCGACAGATTTTTCTCCAGTGTTGACATGATGCGAACAATGGTAAGCGGCTCGTCCACGGTCGAGAGCGGTCCAGGACAGATGGGAGACGCAGCTGAGCGAGCCACAGAGGAGAAGGAGGCGACAGCCCCGGCCACAGCCAGTGCACCGCCGCACGGAGGAGACGTTGGCCCAGCGCCTTTGCCAAAAAGCCAGGCGAGACCATGCAGTTGGGGGACTGGGGTCAGGGCGGTCGAGACTCTTGGACGACGAGGTGGGGAGGTTGGAGCTGGCATCGAGATCCGTGGATTGATGAAGATCCATGGTCTCGAGCGTCAACGACAGCCAGCGCCGCCGCCGGGACCAAGGCGGTCCTCTAGCAGAGCGGCGCGGCGACGAGGGCGTGGGCCAGCCAGGCTCCAGCCGCCCCGCCTTTGCCGAGGTGGAGCGCAGCCCAGGCCGCAGCGCCGGCGGCGAGGCCAGCAGAGCCGGCCTTGGCTCCACCCCGGGCGGTGCCCACGGCAGTCCCCGCTCAGGCCCCAGCGCAGCCGCCGGCGCCAGAGCCGTCGCTGCCGGTCGCTGCCTCCGCGGGGTCGGCCTCAGTCGCCTGGCGGCCGCCCGAGTCCGTGGTGAACGCTTGGCCGCCAGCCGCCCCACACCCGCGAGGAGATAACCAAGGACCGCAGCACTGGCAGGGATTCGACCGCCTTGATACATGGGTCCTAAGTATCAAGAGGTGGTCGGAGAGGACATCTCTGTCCCCCGAGGCCCAGGCTGGACGGCTGGACGCGTGGTGGATGAGCTCACGGTGGAGCTGCTGGAAAAGTTGATGCGCATCCAAGAAGAACTGGACCCCCCTGGTGGGCTGGAGGCATTGCTCCTGTATCACGAGCAGACTCGCGGAAGACGACAACAAAGCCAATCAGGCCTTCGACAACGTGATCAACTTGCCGTCGATATCGCAGGGCCGCGACGACTTCGAATCAGTGACGAAGAGGGCCACGATGAAGATGGACGCGATGCGGAAGATCGACAGCTCGACCAGACGTCCAGGAAAGACCTTTGCGGCAATCGATGAGGACGACGATTCTGCGGATCTGGTGCTCTGCGAGTTCTGGGGGGGGGGCCCATCTTGGACGAAGCCGACGTCGACGCAGCATGCGCCGCCGTGGAGGAGCAGGAACTCGACGAGGGGCAGCTGGCCAACGCGGCGGCGGCAGTCACGGACGGGAAGCGAGAGAAGGAAGGCAGGCCCAGGGAGTGGGCCGAGGCCAAGGATCTGAAGAAGGCGACGGCGACGGACAGGGAATTCTTCGACAGCAAGCGCGCCGGGAAGAAGCCGCCCCCTCGAGTTGGACTGAGCATCGACGAGCTCAAGGCCCGCGACAAGTGCGCAAACTGCGGGCAGCGAGGGCGCTGGCGACGTGA